TGAAGGATGGAAAGATTGTCCGTTAACTTTACATATTTGAATTGTTTTGGTTTTAATTGCATGTATTGGAACTATGTGGTTATGTTTTTGGTTATTTGGTACTTGAATGTTATTTGTAGTATTTGTATTTGAATTTTATGTTATTTTGGTACTTGAATCTTATGTTATGTTATTTGGTACTTGAGTTTTATTTTATGTTATTTGGTACTTGAATCTTGTGTTATGTTTTTATGTTATGTTATTTGGTACTTGAGTTTTATTTTATGTTATTTGGTACCTGAGTTTTATGTTTTGTTATTTGGTACTTGTGTTGATTAATAGGTTCCTAATGGATCACGACAAAAAATTACTTCTCATAATTCTAATGTACTTGTACATCCGCTACTTTTGGAAGATAAGTGTGAAACGAGTACGTGACAACGATTCAGAAATGACGGGACATGAATTTACGTTAGAGTTACTTCACCGTAATCCTCTACAATATGTTGAAGTACTACGCATGTCTCGTGAATCATTTGTCAGACCATGTGCGCATTTTAGAGTAAATTACGCGTTAAAGGATAGCAAACATGTATCGGTTGAGGAAAAGATGACTATGTTTTTGATGATGATCGGTCATAACCAACGATACGTGATTATCAAGCGAAGATTTCAACACTTAAAGCAAACAATTCATAAATTTTTTCATGAAGTGTTGGACAAAATGTTGCTTTTCGCACATGAGATTATAGTACCAACTTCTTTTAATTTGAATCCAAACATTCTGGGACATAATAGGAGGCTACGACGGGTACTCAAAGGAGTAGTTGATGCACTTGATGACACTTTGATACATGTTGTCCCTGCAAACAAACAAGATTTATATAGAAGCAAGGGAAAATATGATTGTTACCAAAACATATTGGCAATATGTGACTCAACATGATGTTTATGTTTGTTGTGGCCGGTTGCGAAGGGATAACACATGATTCTAGAATTTTATCAGAAGCATTAGCAAATCCACATGCACCATTCCCGTTTCCACCATCAGGTAAATTTATGGTTATTTAAATACTTTTACTTTAGTTTGAAAAATAAATGATTTTTTTGTTTTTTTATAGATAAGTATTATCTTTGTGATGCCGCCTATGCTTGGAGATTTCCATCGAAGACGTGCATTAACGAATAAAGAAAAATTTAACCATGCACACGCAAAACTTCGGAATGTCATCGAGCATGCTTTTGGTGTCTTGAAAGCACGGTTCCCTATATTGATGAGGATGACACCATTCTCGTTGGTTACACAACGGAACATTACCCTTGCATGTTTCGTGTTCATAATTTTTTAAGAAGAGAGGAACTACGTGATGAGTATTTTGCACGATATGATGAACCAAATGTCTCGGTTCGGAATAACAATGCAGTCATTGATAATGATGAAGATAAGATTCCAACATATGGTACTGCAGAGACCGTGAATATATGACTCAGTTACGAGATGAAATTGCCGAACAATTGATGCAAAACATGGAATGAGAATTATTAAAGTTTGGTTGTATGAATTTTATTTAAAAATGCTACTGTAAGACTAATTTGGTTGTATGAATTTTATTTCAATGTTTTAAGACTATAATTATTAAATTTTCGGTATTAAAAAACTATTTCGGTTTATTAAATCACTTTATTTTAATTTTTTTAATATCTGCAGCAGCCTGCAGATGTTAAAAAAACAAACACGCTTCTTATTACAATCTGCATCCGTTTGGTCCACCTCTTCTGCTGCAGAGGTGGTTCGCAGACTTCAGACATTTTCATTCCGAAAAAACAAACAACACCTTAGCCACGTTAATTTATACAAATATGTTCCTTGTGTTTCTTAACATGTAGCTTTACAAGGTCTTGGCATATCTCATATCTGAAGCCTAATGGTGTTAGTAGGATAAATATACATGAACTAAACCCTGAATGAAATATTTATATTTTAGATATAACTTAATTTCTATATAATATCTTATTGACGTTAAGGGTGTGTTTGGGATTACTTTTTAAACTTAAAAAGTCTTTTTTATAAAAAAACTTTTTGCAAAAGAAATTTTATAAAAGAAGGTTTTTAAAACGTGTTTGATTTGATTTTTAAGGCTTTTAAATGTCATAAACAAAAAGTCACAAAAAAATATGATTTCATGAGTTTTGAAAAATCATTTTTTTGTTATCGGCAAAAAATTATTTTGAAAAGAACTTTTATACTTACCAAAAATCTTTTGGACATTTTTTACTTTTTGGAAAAATTAAAAATCCAAAAATCATTTTAGAAAAGATGCCAAACACCCTATGTCAATATATGCATATGTAACTCTTACACATTCAAGAGTTTGCTTTTTTCATTGGTTGCTATTGCTAACGTAGTTACACATGCAAACAAACTCTACCCTCTCCTTAATGCGTCTCAAGCTAATTTCAACAATCTTGATGTTCCAACAAACTCGTATGGTTTTTATTAAAAAAAAATTAAATTTCAATAATAAAAATGTATTTGCAAATTTATAGTAAATTACTTGCATTTTTTTGTTAAATTTTACCAACATGGTTAATAATATAACCCGAAAAACTGAAAAGTAAAAAAATCGATAATTTGGGTTTTCTAGAGTAAAAAACATTTTTTAAATTTGATTTCAGTTTTAGTAAATAAACACGTACGGAGCGGAACCATGTTCACCTTTATATGAAAGGGTTTTACGTTGAAATGGTCAAGCGAGCCGAAAAGATTCCGAACTTGCGGATATTTGGAAGATAACATGATATGATAATATGTAAATGTAACTTTCTCACCACCATATTAACCAACCAAGAAAGGGTCATATGCCCAACGTCATATCCAAGAAAAAAGATAAATAATTATATTATCATATAGTCTAAAATACAATAACTTTTTCACACGAACTTCATCTACTAAAAAATATTCTAATATCTTGTTTTGTAAAGTCTTTTCCGATTGAAAGAACAATAAGATAGAGCAAAGGCTAAAATAAATTATTAGGTGTGAAACTCATGTTGACTCTTTTAAATTTTAAAGATTATATTTTTAAATTTAGTTAAAAAAGTTAAAAATCTAGATAATTGTTCGAAGTTTAAAAAATTACACATTATTTGTCATATTTTACAATTTTAAGACTTTAGGGTTTTTGTTTTGTTAATTTTACTTTAAGATTATATACAACACAAATTAAAATTAAATATATATGTAAACATGCTTGTCAGATTGATACTATGTCACAAAATTCTATTATAACTCAAACGTAATTAATTAAACATGTTAGATCAAATTGACATGTTTTAATTATTAGAGTATAAAATATCAACTAAACATAATAATTTTGAGTTGTGTTGATGGATTAGATCGATTTTTGGCATCTTTATATAAGATAGTTGAATATCTTATCTCTATTCTAATCTCCCTATTTTAATAAAAGAATAGTTTTAATCTCCTTTTGACATACGTCATCCTATTAAGCCTCCTAATTAATACATATTTTATTCTTCTTTTGTCATGTGTCACCCTATTAGGCCTCCTAATTAATGCATATTTTATTCTTTTTTTGTCATGTGTCACCCTATTAGGTCTCCTAATTAATCCATACCACTTGTCAACCTATTAATTCTTCATTTCAAATTTCAAATTTTAAATTTCCCACTCTAATTATATTAAATTAATAACATTAGAATAAAAATTAAAATAAAATTAATACAAATTATAAGGTGCTATAATTTCACATATTTATTTAAATTAACGATTATAGCTTTATATAACTAAAAAAATATATCTTAATTAATAATTTATTTAAAATAATTGATTAATAATTTTGAATTCTCACTATAAAAGTTTAACTAATTTTGTAACCGTGGTTTCCACGAGTTATAAACTAGTAAATGAATATGTTTATTCTCTTATTGACAAATATCATACTGTTGGAACTCATCATCAATATTATATGTTACTTATCATGTCATTTGTCAACCTATTAATTATCAATTTCAAATTTCAAATTTTAAATTTCTCACTCTAATTACATTAAATTAATAATTGATTCTCAATTTTAAATTTTAAATTTTTTTCATTCTAATTATATTAAATTAATAACATTAGATTAAAAAAATAAAATAAACTTAATACAAATTATAAGGTGATATAATTTCACATATTTATTTAAATCAACGATTATTATTTTATATAACTAAAAAATATCTCTTAAGTAATAATTTATTTAAAACAACTGATTAATAATTTTGATTTTTTAATGTAAAAGTTTAATTAATTTTATATCCGTGGTTCTCACGGGTTATAAAGTAGTATGTTATAAAAATCTTTATGTTTTACAAAAAGCAACATTTTATAAGTAACATCAAAGACAGATCTATTATAGTGTCCGAGGTGGTCTGGACTACCCTTAAATTTTTTGGTCAAATTTAATGTTTTTTTTATATATTTAGACGCCATACAACACCTAAAACATATTTACGCAACCCTTAAGTTAAACTCTAAAGTCTATAGGGGTATTTTTTGTGCAACCTCTTATTTTATTTTTCTATTCTCATCCTCAGTAAAATGTTTCGAAAAGCTTAAAATTGTCATTTTATGATGTAAGGAAAACTATTTTAATTTGCTAAAAACTAAAGAACTTCACAAAGTTGCATGTAGTGGAAGATTGTTTTTTCATAAACATAAAATGCACCCTTCCATTTTGGTCTTTTTAGTCAAGAAGATGATTATAAGATGGATGGGAAGAGTATTATATTGCTTCCATTTTGGTCTTTTTATTCAAGAAGATGATTAGTAAGATGTATGAGAAGAGTATCATTTTGTTGCTTGAAATAAGAAGGGTACTACTCAGCAATAACTTTAAACTCCTAACATATTTATGTAATATGGCATAACTTGAAGGGTAATGACATAATTTTTGCAACCACGAGGGATTGCAGATTAAAGTAAAGAAAGTACACCCTCAGCGCTGAGCTGCTTTTGATTTTTATCGTCTTCTCCTTCCCCCTTTTCCCCTTGGAGTTTTTCTCAAACTTCACAAAACTCCTATACTTCTCTTTTCTGTCCATGTAAGATTTCATTGGTTTCCCCTCATTTTACCCATAGATTTTCAAACCAGAATCTTTTCTGTTGCTCCTGCAAAACCCACAAAATCTATCTATCGATCCTCTTGCATACTCAACTTGGCCAATAATTTCTTCAAAAATAAACACAATCTTTGTTAATTTGAGCAAAAATGTCTGAAAGTCCAGCAAAAGTCCGGTTAGTTCGCTGCCCCAAATGTGAAAATCTCCTCCCTGAGGTCACCGAATATGCAGTTTATCAGTGTGGTGGTTGTGGTGCTGTTCTTCGAGGTAAAGTTCCTTCCTCTTTCATCATTTTTCGTTAAATTCTTGTCAAGAAACTCAGATTTGGGTTCATAAATGTATGTTTCGTTTCTGTTCTATCTGTTTATTGTTGATGGATAATGCATAAACGATTTGGGTATGGCTGATTTTGTGAAGGACATGTGATCTTTTTATTCATCGTTTTCGAAGGTATCCTGATAAGGTTTCATGAAAATTATGATTTTACATTTTTTTCGCTGTGTTTTCTTGTGATTTGGTGTCAAATTTATGCGATTTCGTGAAGAAATTCAGATGGGTTTGCAACATTATTACATTAAATTACCTGGTAATATCCTCGTTGTTGACTTCTTCAATCTTTTTGTTTTTGTAGCAGTCAAAATCAAGGTTATGTATGGTTTTGAATAAACTAAAATGGGTTTGGAGACTTTGTATTTTATTGCTTTAAAATAATATCTGGTTGTGAGTAGGTCAATATTCTGTGTGATTTTGTGTCTGTTTATAGAGTTGAAGTGTTCTTCAATTTTGATTTTTTCTATCTGTGTGTTAACTTACAGCAAACAATAAGCATATTGAATCCAGTGTATCTTCGGAGAAGTCTGGTGATGAAAGTGACGGAGTTCCAAACAAAATCTCCAAAGAATCACCTGTGAATCTTGATTTCTCAAAAAGAAGTGTTAAGAGCATGAGTTTAGCTTCAGAAAGTGGACTCAAATCTAATGGAAGTTCTGGTAGGAGACACGAAAGAGACGATGATAACAACATAAACTTCGAAGAACCAAAACCCACAACAGCAGGTAACAGAAGTGGGTCACGAAGATCAGTTCGTAGTTCAAATTGGAGATATCGAGACTCAAATCTTCAAGAAGCTTCATCAAGTTACAATTATACCCCTCGCCATGAATATGCTGAACTAGTTCATAACACAAACAATCTAGAGGTTGAAGACGATCGCGATGAGCTTTTAAGGAAATTAGACGAACTCAAGGATCAAATCGTTCGATCTCGTGATAAACCTAAAGAAAAGTTCCCGATTAATCATCATATCCCATCTTATATTGACCCCCCTCCTTATATTCATCATAATAATCATTCTTTATTACCTTCTTCGAATCAAGTTCAATCGTTTAATGATCCTTTTAGGTCGCAAAACCATAGAAGAACACCGATTATGCCGTTTGAACAAAACCCATATAATCATCCCTATTATTCCGGCCAATACGTTAGCAACGAAATTACTGATAATCGATTATTCCACCATCCGTCTTGTTCGTGTTTAGTCTGCTACAACAAACACCACCAAGCTCCGCCACCTCCTCCACCACAACCGCCGCCACACCCCATCGCACCACCAGTTTTGCAAAACGATACGGGTTTCTACCACCATGATTACAATCGTTCTTTAAACTCTCGTAGCGGTGAATCCCGAACACGATGGTCTAACGAAATCCGCCGCCCTCCAAGAGGAATCTTAGCCACCGGAGTGAGGCGGTGCCGCCCCGTTTCCGGCGGTTCTCCGTTCGTGGCGTGTTGTAAATGTAACGAATTGCTTCAAGTACCCAAAAAGGATACGAAAAAAATGAGATGCGCATCGTGTTCTGAAGTCATGTTACTTTCGATTGTCAACAAGAAACTTCTTCTCTCGATTTATACTGTAACTCGTATGGATTCCCAAAAGCCAAAAGCTAATCATATTCATAAGACACGTGGCGACACAAAATGGGGAGGCACCGAGTTTTCCTCTGAGGATTACGATAACTCGGGTAATTTTGACTTTGAGTCAATGGATAGATTGGCGATAGGTGGACCAAGTTTGACTTCTTACAAATCCGCAGTTTCTTACACATCTGAAGAAGATTTAAAAAATGGAATCAAAGATGAAAACACAGTCGATGTAACAGTGGAAGACGATAAACCATCTCCACCACCTTCTGGTTCACCTCTTCAAGATCATTTTGACTATTCAACAAAATACCATCGAGCAGGAAAAGGGAACATGAGCAAAAGGTCAAATATGGAAATACCTACTAATGTGGGGTCCATGAACATGAAAGATGATGATGCATTAGCAAGTGAGATAGAGATTTCATCAAACGAATATGGAGTAAACACAGGCACTTCTCAAGAATCTGGTGATGCAAATACGGATCGAAATGGAGGAAGTGGATCTTTTTTTGCGAGTATGATTAAGAAAAGCTTTAGGGATTTTTCAAAGTCTAGTCAACATGATGACATGGGAAAAGTCAATGTGGTGGTCAACGGGCATCATATACCGGATCGGTTGGTTAAGAAAGCTGAAAAGGTTGCTGGACCGATTCAGCCTGGTGAATACTGGTGAGTTTAATGTGTTAAGCACTTAATCTGGATAACTGTATATGATTGTTTCTTTTTGACTTAATCCAGACAAAATGACTTAATGTGATAATGTATCTAGACACTAACCCTTTACCTATTTGCCTTTCTTGTATACTCCTCTCACGTTAAAATTGTTTGTTGGAATGTAAGGGTAAAATGGTCATTTGGTCTCGTTCAGATAGTTAATTCAGTCATTTTACCCATACAAGAGTTAATGTGAAAAAAAAGGAACAACCCCTAATTCTAGTAAATCTTTTTGATAATATCCTAATCATTTTTTGTTCTCTTTTTGATTTAGGTATGATTCGAGAGCTGGGTTTTGGGGTATGATGGGTGGTCCTTGTCGTGGAATAATTCCAGTAATTTTCTTGCTAATTGATCTTTTTTTTTATGAAAAATTCTAAAATGAATATGGATATAAAGAAATTGATATGGTATTTATATTTTATTTTGCAGCCATTTATTGAAGAATTTAATTATCCGATGCCTGAAAAATGTGCGGATGGAAACACAAATGTATTTGTGAATGGGAGAGAGCTTCATGAAAGGGATTTGGATTTGCTTGCAAGTAGAGGCCTCTCAACAGAAACAGACAGATCTTATGTCATTGAGATATCTGGGCGAGTGTTAGATGCGGATTCAGGTGAAGAGCTTGAAGGACTCGGTAAATTAGCCCCAACGTAAGTCCTTAAGTTTTACATATAATAAAAATAATTGTAATTCAATAATAATAATTGTAAATTTGTAATATAATAATATTAACAATAATAATATTGTTGTGTTGACAGAGTGGAACGCAAGAAACATGGATTCGGGATGAAGCCTCCAAAAGCAACGGTTATATAAAGTTATAAATGCTCCAGTCATTTGATATGATATCAGATGACTGGAGCATTCGGTTTATGCTCCGGTGGGAGCATAAACCGTATTTATGGAACCTACGTGTTTGTAGACACAAGGTAAATTCTTTATGACTGAATGTCTCGATAGTTTAGAGCTTCGTGTATCGATATGTATGTGAGATATGTGAGATGCAAATGATGTGTTTAGGAATTTATTGGAGGAGTTGTCATTTTTGGTTTCGAATTTGTTGTTTTGTTGTGCATTTGGTGACTGGTTTCATGTATTTTTGTTTGTGTATATAAATTTAAGTTTATTGAATTGTCTCGTATGCATGTTTTATCGATGTTTGAACAGTAATCATGGGTGTAATTGTGTAAATTATTACTTTAAAGCCTTCTGATTTGCATTTTATAATAGCAATTTATTCCAATATGTTTTACATATTAAACATATTTCATTACCACAAGTTAATGATATTTCTTTACACTCTGTCAAGACAATTAATATATTTAGAGTGAACTTAATCACTATTTCCTTTTCATTTAATGGACTTAACTAATACATGATAATACAGATGTATATAGATGAGAGTTTCTTTTTAACTAATTACTAACAAGAAGGGTCTTAATTTGTTAAGTGAGAAAATTGTGCTTCATCCATTGATTGATGTTTCTGTGAATGGATTGATTCAATAATTACATAGCTTTCTTTAGCTATGTAAGGCAATAATAATACAATAATAATACTCTAATAGGTTTCAAATATGCTATTGAATGTGTATTCTATGAGTGATTTTTATGTATTTTTGTTTATGTATATATATTAAAGTTTGCACATTACATTAACTTTACTTGAATAGTCTTAGCATGTTTAGTCTAAGAAGCTTGAACCCCACAACGGGTATTATTGATGTTTCTTTGAATGATTCACCGTTTGATAATTACGTATTCAACGGTTATAGATTCAATGTTTCTGTGAACATCAATAAACAATCTTTAGATTTCTTATTTCTTTGTGTTTCTGTTAATTGGTAATTATGGTAGAACTGGGAATTTATTTCTTAATTCTGTGAATTGTTTCTCAAACTAATAGTTGAACTGTGAATTGTTTTACAAATTCTTTATTTAGGAATATATAAATTGTGAATTGATTTACAATTCTTTAAATGATACTTGTACCGGTTATAAGAATGTTCAAACTGTGAAAATGGTCTGGATTGTAAAATTGTTAAGAATGTTTAAAATGGTTTGGTTTGTTGTCGTGGCTTGCATCAATTTGAAGGACAACTTGAAGATGAGTGATAAGTGACCTTTAACGAATCTGCATCGATTTGAAGAACAACTTGTATATGAGATAAGTGGGTGATTAATGAATTTCTCATAATGATTTTGTGATGTCTTCACTTTAAACTGAATTAATACAACTATATAATGGGATATATAATAAAAGGTCTATTTAATGTGTCTATACAAGTATCATTTATATACACCAATATCTTCACGTAAACAAATCAGACCGTTTATTTTAATCCAAAAGTTAAATGGAACAGACTTTTTCAATAACCGGTACAGACTATATAACTAAACCGCCCGTTTTCAAGCGGATATCTCAAATATCAGGAACCAGATTTTTTCCGGATTTTTAACCAAACCGGTTTTAAAAATCCAGATTTTAAACCGAAAAAATTAGTTTTTTCTGGTTAAAGAAACAACTCTTCTATTGTCTGAGTATTTATTATCCTACAAGTCTCTTAGTTCTCAATCAAAACTTTGTAACGATAGCAAAATTAGCCTAACATGAGATGTCAACTAATACAATGTTTTTTTAACATGATTACGTTTATGAAACTAAATTTTTTAAAATATTTTTAGAAGTTATATTTGGCTTTTACATGTGTCACTGTCCTAAATCCTACTGTAAATGTTGGCCGCATGGGACCCTTAATGTCAAAATTTGATGCAAATTTAATGACACTTTTCAACACCAATAAAATTTTTACTGTTATGCAACCAAATATGATCAACATAGTATTCTAATAGTTGCTCATATGCGGAGGAAGTGACGAGATGTGAATTACCAACTTTTTAACACATTAATGGAGGACGCTAGTAACGCCAACAAACTTTGGCCCCAAGTAGCGAATCAGGAAATTATATGACATCAAACTTTTTGTCCAACTTTATCGTCGATAAACAACTATGATATTTTGGCTTGGTCCAGAGAAATGAACCACAATTTAACTTCGGTCCCGATTCTAGCCGTCATGTCTTATTATTATTAACTGCCCGTCCAAGTTTCTATGGTAGCTTTGCAATATGCTTTTTCACTTAGTCGCAGGGTAATATCGGAACAAATGTCATGACTCACCGGCGATTTGATTTAAGTATATATTTGTTTAAATGATTACTTGGATGACGTTGAAAGGATACAAAGTTGTGTTTCACTTGACTGACAACTTTTGCCACATGTCGAGGAGTACATCCATGTAGAAGAAGTTTCACAATGGATAACACCTCCAACAACCGAGGTAGACGAGGGTGATTTTGAAGAGCTATCAGATTCATATTACAAAAAAACTTAGATTTCAAGAAGACAATCAATCTTAGGACTATTGTTATTATTATTTTCAATTGGGAAATCTTCGAAAGAGTCCTAAACTTTTACCATAATTTACGAAAAAGTCCCAAACTAAAATTTGTTTACAAAAAAACATGAATTACCGGTAAAAATGACGATTTGACCCCTTTTTCCCAGTATACCGGTTTCATTACTTACCTGTTTCATTAAAGTTCCATTTTTTATCCTAATTTAGGATAAGTCCTAAATTAAAATTTTGTGATGATTTAGCCATTTTTTCCATGTAACATATATTTTATTGGATATAATGGGTTATATAGTACTACATTTACTGTAAAATTTGATATCCATCTCATTAACTCATTTATGACTATGTATCCATGTCAATAATGAAACCAACAAAATGTGTGTTTTCAATAAAAAACAATAAGAAATAAGTTGATGTCTGATGAGATAGATATATTGGGTTACATAAGTTTAGATAGACAATTTGAAATTTCTTATAAACGTAACAATGACGAAGTTGTTGCTAGTTTATATAATTATTGCAATGTTCGTTGGATGCATTTTACATTCCAAAAAATATACAGTGCATCAGGATATCAAGTTTTATGGTAAACATAGAATTATATAACCCAACATATCCATCTCATTAGCTCATTTAATAACTAGGCGTTCAGGTCAACAATGAAACTAATAAAATGTATGTTACATGAAAAAATGGCAAATCATCACTAAATTTTAATTTGGGACTTATTCGTAAATTATGGTAAAATAACATGACTTTAATGAAACCAGATAAGTAATGAAACTGCTAAACCAGGAAAAATGGGTCAAATCGTCATTTTTACTGGTAATTCATGTTTTTTCATAAACAAATTTTAGTTTGAGACTTTTTCATAGATTATGGTAAAATTTTAGGATTTTTTTGAAGATTTCCCTTTCAATTTCTAGACTTATGATCATAATCGTTAGCTTTTAAGTTTGTATTTTAAAATCAAATATAATACAAATATTTATTTGGTTGTAGTTAAATTTGAGTTAAAAAGGATTTTGTTATAGGATTACCGAACCCGTTTTAGAAAGAAAAAAACAGATTATCATAAACCTAAACCCGATTATATCGGATATCCATTTCACTCACGAAAATCTGGTCAAAACCAGTCAAGATATAACTAAGTCTTATAGACCAAACAACTGATTTAACATCGAACCGAACTTTAAAAATAACCGGTTTCGATTTTATTTGGCTTCTATACCAAATTCCTCTATAGTTTGACCGATGATTTATTCGTATGTTAAAACTGGATCAAAACCCGTGGAATAAATATGTTGGAAACCCTATGGTGAATATATTTGCGTACCAAGACATAAATGGAACATACGAAACATGTACTCGACCTAAAATAACTTGATTGCACATAAAGTGTATGTCAATATTAACGTTCTTGGCTTGCTGACTTTGAACTGGGTTCGAGGGATATACAACTTAACATTGTGATAGTAGAAAATGGTTGCTTTTGTGAGTGAAGCGTTTGTTGGAAAGTGTCAAAAGTCATAACTATTAGTGATAATTCTAATAATAATAAGGTCCTTTTGGGTTGCTATTAAGACCCATTTGAGTAACTAAAAGACAAATTTGTTTAGTACTAATTAGTTTATTAATTTGTCATGTTTTGATAAATTAATTAGAAACTAATTTATAATTAATTAATAGTTAATTAATTATAGGGACTGAATGTTAAATAATTAAAAGAATTTAATTAATGTAAACAATCCATGGGCAAATTCAATAATAAGGCAGTTGCCTTTGTGATTGAGCAACATTGAGAGCCTATAAATAAGGAGCTACGAAACCAACCCTAGATGCTCATTCAAGGCTCTAAAATTTCCCACCCCTCCCCCCCCCCCCCCCCCCCCCAATTGCCCCTTATTCTTGGACGAACATCCTAACCTTTCTAGAGTTTGTGGAGTTTTCGATGTTCGCCTCCCCTCTCCTCGGGTTTTGTTGTTTTGCTCCTTTGGTGTTCTTGGGTATGATATCATTAGAGAGATACTTTGGGTCCTTACATCCAAACAAAGGTGGCAAGAACTCAATCTCAAACAAGGAGATCTCTACCTGCTAAATAGGTATATATGTTTTCTTATTACTCTTGTAATTGCAATAATATAATGAACTTAGATCCTTATGGGTTGCATGCACACCTAGGAACTGTTGTATGCTTCCGTTGCTTATGAATATGTGTTAGTATGCCTAAAAACTTTCAGTGTGTAACTCTTGAAGGAGGTTCCATAGCCAACATGTCTTTATAAGGACATTGGTCACACCTTGATATTCATCTTCAATATTGGATATGAATTACACTTTGATGCTTTGAGGACCAAGAAAGAAAGTTGTTTATGAGACCATCTTTTGGGGTGTGGTTAAATATCCCAAAATAATATATTATAGAAACATATATTTCGTCCATACTATTTTGTTGTCTTATATCCTTTATGACCATGGTCATGGGGTGATGTGGTTTCATGCTGGATGATACTACGTGCATTTTGGACCTCAAAAGTTTTGCACTATCTCCATGTTATAATTTGGGGGGATTACAATAATAGATGAGGATGTTATCAACCAGTTTAGGACCCAATGCTCCCCCATATTAGACCATTTACATTTGTTGTATGCTAGTAATTTAATGTAGTTGTTTGACAACCCACCTGTAACATCCCAAAATTCAAGGCCAAAAATTTCATTTTTAAATAAGTTATTACATAAAACCATCAGTAGAAAAACATTCATAGTAATATCT